TGCTGGCTACACACAGTAGCTTATGGCAGCCCACTGCAGCAGGGGCTGCAGCCTACACTGTCGCCGGAGACTCATGGCAGCCCAGCTCCAGGTTGAGCTGTTGTTCAGCATCTTAGCTGTAGAGGGCAGTGTCACTGGCCCTCATATGTGGGATCTGAACTGAGTCCTCTGGCGTCCCAAGCCAGCTCTTAACCAACGCACCACTCGGCTGGCCCAAAATGTATTCTTTACTAAAGCACCTAGATTTGTGCCCTCTAGAGGTGGTGTCAAAATCTTAAATGCTGATTTTTGTTCTATCATCTACCAGCTGGTGATCAGAGGCCTTAATTGATCTCTCTGAGCTTGAGCTTTTCCCCATGTGTACAAATGGAATAATTCATGACTAATCAAATCACATGGGTTTGTGGTTAAGGTGCAAATAAAAAAATTTACACAGAAGTTCTTTATAAATAAAAAGTATTATTACTAATAAATGTATGCTGACCAATTAGAAATCAAGGGAAAAAATACATTTTAGTTACTACTCAGAAGTCCTCATAGAAGAGGTGAAATTTGAAACAGTTTTTAAAATAAGCAAGATTTACAGAGAGAGAGAGAGAGAGAGAGAGAGAGAGAGAGAGAGAGAGAGAGAGAGAGAGAGAGAAAGAGATTGATTGACTCCTGGGGAGGAGCAGTAGTAGCGATAAAGACACAAAGACAGGTCTTTTCATGGAATAGCAAAGGCTAGATTGTTGGCCTTCGTTAATAGGCTGGTGTTAAATATCAAGTTAAGGAGGCATCCTCAAGGTAACAGAATCATTGTTAAGTGGGAGAATAACTTGGTAAGGTGGGCATTTTGGACATTTAATTTTGTGGTGGTGAACAAAATGAAAACTATCTGGAGGGGGAGAGTGAAGGAAGATAAGTAGATCACAAATAAACCTACTGCAGTGTCTGTCTCAGATGTGTAGTGAGTAAGGGTTTAAACTAGAAAGATGGTGGTGGCATTTAAAAAACTGAAAAGGAAGGAAGGAAGGGAGGGAGGAAGGGAGGGAGAAAATGAGATACTGCAAAGAAAAAATGAACAGACCTTGATGACTGAGCAGATACAAATAAACACGTACAGATTGTGTGTGGGTAGAGTAGTAAAATCATGGAATGGCAAGGAAAGGGAGGAAGTCAATGATTTCTGAATGACTGGGGGGAGTCAGAAGAGGTCAAAGAAAATGATGGAAATTTAGGTTTAACCTACGGAGTCAATACGAGATATCCAAATGACACAAAACTCAAACGAGGATGGAAATATAACTGATATTTTCAAAGGAAGGGAGGGAAGGACACAGAAGAAACCTGAAGGGAGTGTGGACCTAGACATGTGGAGTTAAGCCACCAGAGGAAAATATTCAGCAGGTGACTGAAAGATCAAGGCTGGAGCTCTGGGAAAGATTTAGGACCACACGTCCATTCCTTAAAATATATATATATATTTTTTTAGCTGAGCCATCCTGCTGCCTGTTGGCAGCTCAGCTCGGGCCGGGACTCAAACCGCTGTTGCTCAGAGCTCATACTCTTGAGCGAGCTCTTAACCAACTGAGCCACTCGGCCGGCCTTCTTTAAAACATTTTAAATAGTGGAGGTCTGTATTTCTTAACTTAAAAATATATGCATTATATACTATTAAATCATGTTGGAATATTACCCCTACAGGCAGAATTATATAAAAGACATAGCTATTATTAGTGACAGGCCTTAAAAGTAGCAACTGACAAAAGAATAGGCATGATACACAGCCAGCAGGAAAGGGGACATTTACCAGTTTCCACCCAATGTGAGGGCTTACCTTTTCCTGGGTAAACTCTCTGAACATGGCTGCCAGCCTGTCATCCTCAATATCACCGTCAGTCTTGATAGCCACATTCAGAATGTGAATTGGTTCATCCCTAGGGACCTGCAACCCAAGAACGCAAGACAAAGAAATCAGGAGGCTGTCTAATACAGAGAAAAGTATAGTACTTGGCAGAATACCTAAAAAAGAGATATGCCCCACAGGACATTTTGGTTTGCCCACTGGTACGAATAAGCAAATTGCAACCGCTACCCCATATCCATGATGGAGATTAAATAAAGCAGAACATCTAATTTTTAAAAGATAAGGCAGCGAAGGCATTAACTAGAGGTGACCCCAAATCTTGACTTGACATGAACTTGAAGACTGCTATGTCTCAACTTTTTCACCAGTAAAATGGGAATGAAATCAACGGCCATATCTCTTCACAGAATGTGAAGAAAAATGATTGAAAGAAGCCATCTGAACATATTCCCAGATAATATATTTCCTAACAATTTATCATACAGTGGAAGTTTTAAACCACAGGAAAATAACCTGGTAGGGGAAGAAAAATAGAACAATTTGTTTACTGAGAAATGAAAAGAAGAGATTAATAAAAGGACAAAGTTTTAAACAAAATGCCTATTTTTTCTGCTATTTAAAGTCTACCATTCCCTGAAGACTACAATAGCACCACTGTGCAAATATACAAGCCATCACTGAGTAAGAATTAAAGCAACCAAAGCTGAAATCTTTGGAACAACATGCAGAGACCCAGAGGTGGCTGCAATAAATACAGCTGAGCTTATCCTACACAATGGATTCCAAGAATATAGGTTTCCTTCCTTTCTTTCTCTCTTCCTTTTCTTTTTTAGGTTAGAATTTATATTCTACCTATTTCCAAAAACACTTTGATGGGGCACATTAAATTTAATAGTATAAAGTAGGGTAAAAAGATGAACTCTTCCCTATACTATTCAAAAGTCAGAAAGATAGTCTATACATAGTACAAGTCCTGTATTTGAAGGAGCGAAGCCGTCTCCCAAAAGGGACACCATACCTTGTCTTCATCATATAGAGACGTGTGACCTGCCTCAGGGAATGTGGGGCTTTGGGGTGGGGAATCACAGAAGCAGCCCATCACTTCATCAAAGATCCTGAAAAATGCCAGAGAAACACCCATCAGGAAAATCCAAGTGGCAGAAAACCTACGTGGCTGGTAACTAATACTGCCATTGCCAGCTCAGTCTAAAAGAATAATCTATCCTACCCTGTGCTCAGTAGGCACTGAATAGAATCACCAGTGGCTAGAGATGACATGCAAAATTTCACCAAGTGGCAGAAATTAGGAGGATGGATTGTTTAAACTTTAATAAACCATATATATTTTTTCGGTTTAAAAAAGAATGATCTAAAGCTCTTTTGTTATTGTTGTTGTTGTTTTTTTATATGTAAGATATGAGCACTGCTGTCATCATCGGTCTTGAAGTAACAGAAAGACCCTGGGACTGGAGCAGTGACAGACCAATGTAATTACCCCTCCCCCTAGGGTAATGCATCAGTATACATCAAGAGATAGATGCTGAATGCATTTAATCAAAAGATGTATTGTCTCTGGTGGGGCTCACTCTAGTGTTGTGTTTAATTTCTCCTGACATTTCACTCATCACAGAGCAGACAGCTTCTTCTGTTCACTCCTAAGGAAAAGATGATTTTGTTTGTTTCCTTTTTTTCTGACCAGGCTCACAGAACAAGTAGAGGCTTGTAGAGTCTGAATGAGAGAAACGGAAGGACATACACCTCTTGGAGGGCGTATACAGCAAGGGCTATATCTCCTTAGCTAGCTCATAGCTCTCCTGGGAACCTTTATTCATTTGGCAGAAATTTGAGACTGACAAACACACATAGCTCCCCTTACACAGACACAGTTCCGCGGTGTCTTACCTGACGAAATCTTCAAAAGTTCGAAAAGAGACCATTCCACCCATCCGCTGACATGGTGGAGTGAAGGAGTTGTCCAATAGCACGTCGCTGACGCTAGCTACATGAGTCATGCCATAGTGGTTGAGGTTGGAGGAGAAGGACATTCTAAATGGTAATTCAATCAAGTGCATTAGACAAGTAGGGTAGGAGCAAGGACTGGGCGAGTAACAATAGGGAAAAGGAGCTGGGAGGAAACCCTGAAGTAGGGTCAGGTTGCAGAGCAGATTTGGTTTTTTTACCCACAATGGATAAGACTGTCTTGCTAGAATCACATTAACCTTTTCATTTGAAGTCCCCCGACCCCGCACACACACAGGCTATATTTTTATCACCCCCAAATTTCTTCAAATACAAATCTAAGGACTGTCAGGAATTTCGTGCCAGTTTTAATATAATGACGTTATGGCACATCTAATGAATGAACAGCACATAGGGGTTAAAAACCATCCTGCATCTTCCCCTTCCCTCACACATTCCCCATTTTAAAAGGAAGTAAGCGAGCCAAGTGAATTGTAACTAGGCAACACTTAAGGCATTTTTCTCTAGGAACTGTAGCAGATTAAGTATTCACAGATAGACATACGCATGTACAATAACATCCCTAAGTCACTTGGAATGGTTTAGTAAATCATTATAGAAAACATTATTTATCATACAGAAACAAGTGACTGTCTATAAAAGAAACTTTGCTGAGGTATTTACTTTTTTCTTTAATGGGCTGATAGAAATAGCAGTTTATAAGGGTTATAACTCCTCCCTTTTTGAAAGAGAGACATTTTCAACCCCAAATTTCCGTTTTAATATGTAAACACTTCTATACCAGAGTAAACATGTCTTCATCAAAAGCCCTTAATAAATCCCAGCAAGATACAAAAGGGCAGAGCATGGGTCTCACAGTATGTGTAAGCATGACAAACAGGTGCTAAATGGAGATGCTCGAAGAGAACTGAACTGATTTGTTCAATCTGAAAGCATAATGAACCTGTAGACTCCTTGATGCACCTCAGCAGTATGTACTGATAAGTCATACTGTAAAGAGTTTCTGAATGCCCAATTGGGGCAGCCTGTTAGGAAGGACCAAGCTAAAGGATGCCTCCAGGACTCGCCTGACATGTTACCGGCACACTGATCTGAAGCAAGTTCAGAGCAAGGTCATGGCATCTGAACTTTGGGGGAGCGGCCCCCAAATCTCCTTACTTGTACCACCTGCAGTGTTGCAGGGGGAAGACAGCCAGCAATGTGGACTTGAGATCTGGGTACATACTGAACTCCACTGCAAATGGTAATTATGAAAGGCAATGGAATTTTTTATAGGATGAAAGTGCTGCTCACACAGACTATAGAGACTGACACTCCAGGATTTTATTGCTTTGGCAAGTGATGACTATGAAAAAGGTACTTCATCTTTTGACAGTGCTGGGGAATAGAAAGGCAGAGTGGGAGAGGAAACCATTGATCCCATGAATGAAACAAGCAAACAAATGAAACACACATCAAGCAAGCCTTATCCATGGTGTTCACTAGAAACTGGATTCAGAGTTGTATGAACTCAGAAACGCTATCATCCTCTTTTCTAGGATCACCAAATATATTTACTACTAAAGGAGCAAGTTTGTGAGGCATTTTATCTTTTTGACCTGCCTGGTATTAGACAGGGGAGATAAAAGGGTTCCAGATAACACTTAAAAGGAACTCCCTCTGAATAAGTTAACAGGCTATCTTTATGGCAAACATGGGGTTAAATATCTTTTTCATTCAACCGGACCCCATGGGAAATATCCACTGTTCAGCTTCCCTCAGTCCTATGTTCAGGGGCCAGGACAGCTAAAGGCAGGCAGGAATGAACCAAGCCCACTCTCCAAGGGTAGGCAAGAGGACCAAACAAAAATACTCCCTTTTCCTCTCCCCATCCAAATTGGACTCTAATATTTAAGGGGAGAGGGGCAAAATAAACATAATCCTATAAATATTTCAATGTATAATTAATCATGCGCAAGGTGCTCACCACCAACTTATTACTGCTTTAGCATTTTGTGGATTCAATCCCAGTTGGAATTGCTATCCTCTCAAACTTGCATTGTGTTGCCTTGCTTGGCTCAGAAGCAGAAAGAATGCAAAACAATAACATATCACTTGCGTTATATGGGCCTGGAAACCTCTTCCCAGGGCTCCACACATCCAAGCTTAAATATACTTTTCCAGGGTAAATCTTATTACATAGGTCTGAAATAAAGCTTGACTTTCATATCATTATAACACTTTAGAAAAATAGCTAACACACTGATAAAACATGAGATCAGCTATTTCTGCATTTGCATTCCTCTAAAAGGAGAAACACATTCGAGAAACTAAAAATTGAAAAAATTAGGAACAATGTGCCAGAATAAAAATAACCTTAAGGGTTTCTCCTCTGAAAGCCCCCAACTAGACACATAACTTAGCAAAAAAAAAAAAAAAAGATGTTTACAGCAAAGCTGCACTTCAGGCAGACAACTCCCCTATCATAAACAGCTAGATGGGAGTTTTCCATGCTGAGGCTTTTCAAGTATTGCTTTTTGAACAGCTGAAGAAAAGCTGAAAACATGTTTTCCAAGCAGAAAGAATAACTTAGTCCATCCAAAGGGGAGCTCAGGACTTCCCAGCAGAAGATAAACACATTAGCTTGTCAAGTGCAGTGCTATTTTTTCCCTGATTTCACTATTCCCAGTTATACAAAAAAAAAAAAGGTGCTTTTAATTGGAAAAGAAACTAAACATACGGTACCTGTTTAGCGTGGGGATGTTCCCCCTGCAATTAAACAACCACAGTTAGTTACTGATAGGTTAGTAAAAGCTAGAATAAAAGAATTGTCAGGGCAGATACAGACCAGTTGTGAGGAGCTCCATGTTGGCAGCTCTGGCATTCAGCAGACATAATTAAGTGCTCATTACCCTTCAACCCCTAGGGTGCCTCCAAAGAGGCATGCCTCCTGACCTACCTCACCACAGCAGCTGTTGATGGAAAGGTCGAAATATATTTACCATGGATTTTTTTTTATAGCTCTATTACAAAAAAAAATAATAATGCAGAGTAGTGATAAAACACAGGCTCGTGAAAGTTAATTTAAGCTAGATGATATGGTATGTTACCATAAGCTGCAACACAAAATGCAATTCTTGACAAGATTCTTAGAGAATCTTCTTTCTTATTCATTATTTTACTAAAAATGTAATAAGGAGGTCCAGAGAAGTTGATTCCATAGCCCCTTCTACCTTAATTGCTTTTGTTGAACATGGGTTGAACCGACAAACTCCCTCCAAAGAAAAGAAGCCAGTGAATTCCCAGCTGCCTTTTCTAAGTCTCTTTAACCACGCTCTTCCTCCCGTAAACCTGGGTGGGGTAACTGTGATGGTGGAGGAAAGGAGGGTACCCTGCACTACAGGAGCTTAAAAGAACTGAAAATCACGCAGGAATGTAAAGATAAATGATTCTATGACTAGAGTGGCATAATATGTTAAAATTAATTAATTAACACTTTTTAAATTAATTGAGTTTAGGGTAATAATGACTTTTTTTAAATTGCTGTAAGGTTAAAAACTCTAGGCCCCTCATAAATAAAACCTTACTTAAACTTGGCTAGCCTGAGATTTTCCTGATAAAGAATGTGCCAAAATCATGAAAGAAAGACCAGGGTAATTATGGAAACTGCAAAGCAATCTCCGGCATTCTCTTTGGTCTTTTTTTTTTTTCCCTTAATTTGATATCATTTTCTCAACTGAAAAAAAAAAAAAGAATAGATCCCCTTATTTTCAATGTTTATAAGGGCAACGTTATACTTACCACCCACAATTTAGGAGTACTGTAAGGGGGTTGATTGGATGATATCTTAACCTTCTAACATTCTTTTATCAGCATTTAATCATTGTTGGGGTTTTCTGGCACACAGGACTTAATGGGCAGAACATAGTGGGTGGTGCTGATGATATGTGGGAAGGAGGAGAGAGGGAGGAAAATGATGCACTTTCCATGGCAGTGAAAGGAGCAGAATAGACTGAGCTGGCCATATAAATAAAAAGCTGTGACATATCACTGCACACAAACTGTATACCTCGTGTGATTTGTGAGTAGCAATGCTCTCTGCATCAAACCTGTATCACAGTGAATTCATAAGGCAGCAAGAGCAGCCTCCGAGTGCAGAAACCTGCACCTCTGCTGTCTGGATTCTTTCAGCCTCTCAGGGAAACGGGTTTCATTTTTACAAGAGAGCCTTAGTTATAACGCACTCATCAACAAACAAAAAATATGCACAGGTTCTAAGGCAGAGGGAGGTGAAACTAAGAAAACTAAATGTAGATGCTAGAAAGAATATAGGAAAGTCTTCCTTTTCAGATATGAAGGAGTCTAAAGAAAGGGGTCACCTGTACAGCCCCTTACCATGAAACTCGGTTCAGAGAGAAGAACCCTAGAACCAAAGCAATCTTGGGCTCCATCTATCTGGTTTCTAGAATTCAGAAACCAGTATAATCTCCCTCAACTGTTAACCAATTTCTTAAACTAATAAAATGGTCTCGCTGCTTCTGTAGCTACACTCTAATCCCTTAGAGAGTCTTCACAGGATGAGGGTCAAGTTTCAGTAGAAAAGGGCCTGAATTGAAAAGAACACCACCAACAAAAAGCCAGCCTTTCTCTATCAGCAATTCTCAAGCTCTCATAGGGAGCCCCCTGCTGCTTTGTTACAGAAATTGTGCACCATCTACACAGTATGGGGTAAGAACAAAAACTTCCAACATCTCCAGTTTTTAAAGGAATGGCCCCAAATCAATCATGTAAGAGGTAAGTTTAGAGGCAGCTCTTCCTTTTTGGTACAATCAGAATCTGTGGGCTGTAGGGGAGATGAGCAGGGAAGGAAGGATAAATTCTCTATTACCAGGTAAATACTTAGCCATGTCCATACTGATCATTTATATATTTTGTCACTCTATACAGGGGCTATTTGATCAATTTAAGACATGTGGCATGCTGCACACTACTGTGATGCACTAGAAAGCTAGATCCATGGTCTGCACAAGAATAAACCACTAAGGAAGTGGCCGTATGAGACATATATTCCATTTATGTAGCTAAAAGTAAAATCTACCACATTCCACTGCGTACACATCATGCAAAAATGGTCAAATCACTCTATCTCTGATAAGGGAATCAACTGCATTTTCAAATACATAAATGGGATATAAATTAACTTATCATAAAACATCTGCTGTTAAAAAAATTGCTCTTCAAAGCACTTATCATGACAAATCTTCATTCGCAATATTTTGATAAATATTGGAGTCATTTTTCTTCCAATAGATTACCTCCATTTTACAGATGTGATAACTGAGAAACCAAAGGGGACGCTCTCCAAGGACACTGTTCAATATGGTGTCATAAACCAGAATCTAGACCTGGCAATTTCTCATCTCAGTTTCCGAGGCTAGCATTCCACATCAATATAGAACACATTCAAAGGACAAAAGAAATTCTTTGAATTCTGAGTTTCTTGGCATTAAGTTACCTCTGATTTTATTGATCTGCCTGCCTAGAATGGCTGGAGAGCCTGCTTCAATATGAATGCAAAGTCAGAGTCGCTGCCTGCTAGCTGAACCCTCTTTATTTTAGGAACACTGACTTCTCTGGCAGTCACAAGTTCTCTCTGAGCCTTTTACCATCCCTTCCCACTGAATTTCATTTTGCTCGATTCTAGCTGGCCCTACATAAATCTTTTATCATTTAAAAATGCCTCCATTCTTTTGCTGTCTAAGAAAAAAAAAAAGGACCCTCTATGAAAATGATGGGGACTCATGCAAACAAGCAGTGGTTACATCAAGCTGTGACTGAGAGCCATCTAGGGCCCATCTTTTGAAATCAGGCAGCAAAGCAGAATCAGAAGAGGTCGGCTGAATAACCTACTAGCCATCACTAACAGCAGTACCATAGGAGAAAGAGCAATTTAACTGGCTGTGACCAGTGGTGGTCTCCTTGTGTGACTATATGTTGGCAGGAGAATCCAAATCAAGAGCTGTAAAACACATCTGAACCATGTATTTCTACTGGCCTCTCCCCCGCCACCTCCTTGCAGTTCAGATGCTCTGATTCCACGGCAGAGCTTTTAGTCTACAATAAAATGCTCATCGATTCATTCATTTGCGGCCCCTTCTTTGCTCGGCTAGATTTTGCTCTTTCTGAAATAAGCATGCCAACAGAGCTACTGCATTTTACTGTTGCCTGCTGCATAATTAGCTACAAACCCACCACACCAAACTACAAGGATTTACAGGTGCCTTGGATCCTGCTTTGCGTTCCCCCTGGAATCAGTCAGTCTTCTTTGACAAGAAGGGACCTTGGGCTACCCTAATGATATATGGAGAGTTTTAAACTTGACTCTCCAATCTTACGAGGCTAGAGTGCCAAGATAACACAGCAGAGACTAGAAGCTGAGCCATGGGTACCAGAAAGCACTTTGGTAAGCACTTAAACCTGCTGAGAACCTTCTCTTCTCCCAGATGCTTGCATCTTATCAGCAGACTACCCTAAATGAAGGAAGCAAGCACTGTGGGGTTTTATTTATTTATAGCTTATTCTGGCCTGCAAACTACAACCAAGTGCTCCAGCTGCTAAAAAATGCTACAAGTTGGGTGACTTTTGAGCATCTCAGTGTGATCCAAAGAACGGTCTAATCTCTGGGTGTCAAAGATTATCAGAATTCTCAAGACTGGCAGCAGGCTGCTGATTAGTCACATGGAAGGCTTCTGATTTCTGCACTCCCTCACAACCATCTCCATGAAAAGAAGGCCCAGAGGCCACCCACTCCAGCTAAATATTGAAAGTGCCAAGCAGCCAAAACTCAGTCATGACCGAGACCTGAGCTAACAGGGGACAACACAGCCGACCTCTTCTGGATGTGAGACACGAAAACAGAAAAGTGCTTGAATTAAAACATAACAAAGAAGGCCAAACTCACAAGGAACAAAGAGCAGAGAAGATGCAACACAACTCAACTAAAGCATGGATTTCCACCTAAGAAATAGGTGGAAATGAACACCAATAGGTCCTCACCCATTACCTACAGATAGAAACATACAACAAAATATTCTTCTATCTGCTGCATCAATTTTGATGCTTCTTATTTGAATCACAGATAAAAGTTTAAAAAACTGAACCATGTTTGTTAATGTGTATTATTTGTGAAAATCATTTGGAGTTTTAAATTTCATACTCCCAGACTGTCATAACGCACAGCCATCTGCATAGCCACAGAGTGTATGGGGTAATATACTTTACATGTTTGTATAAATATAGCTACATTTTAGAAGAGCAATACATAGGATGACTAAAGAACTTGCTTCCAGATTATTCTGAGTTACTTAATATGCCCAAAGCTAAGTGAAATCCTGAATGTCAAGTAATTCGATGAAGTGTCCAGAATAAAGATATTCAGAATGATGCTTTAGTGTAACAAGCTTTTCCATCACTAGCACCAGTGAGTGATAAACTAGGGTTTCAGAATGGAACAGAAGAAATACACATGTACACACCTTGGGCTCTAAACCCTGAGCCTAACTGGAAGAAGAAAGAGAAAAAGGAATGCTGAATAATATAGTTTGAGCTCCAGGATTAATCCATGTAAAATACCGGTGGAAGTCCCTAAAAAGTGGGCTGATGGAATCTTAGACAAGAGAATTAAGTCCTAAAAATATGGATAATAATAAAATGTTCTCAGTGCAGACTAGCTGCCCAGACTATTCCTGTACCAAGAAAATGACTAGAGA